TGGTTGTGTGCTTAGCTCCACGTGGACCCATTGCTGGGCAATGTATTTGTTACAGTTCCACTGTTTCGATGTTTTAGTCAAGAAAAAACACGTGAAGGGCTCTTTGGGAATGTTGTTGTTTAGATATACCCAGCCTGGGTTAAGGAACTGTTGATAATTTTGCTACCCTCCCTTATTTAAAACCCTCTCTAAATTAAACACTGTCCCCCAGTCCCAACATGTTTAATTTAGACAGGTTTTACTGTACACGTGAGCCGCCAGCCGCATATCAAATACATTAACATATCCGATTAATGTTAGTCTAAATAGTACCAATAATATGAATTTATGTCATTCTTGATATCGTAGAGCTAACTAAACACAATAGGGGCTCCCTGTCCCTCTCCTGGGAGAAGAGTACCAGTACGTTTGTTCACGCGGGCTCTTTCAGTCAAAGCTCCTGTGTGTAATGTGCACGGTGATCCGAAAGCACTTGCTTGTCAATCTCACAATTGAATGCTAAATGAACTTAACCCTTTTCGCCATAAAGTTTTGAGAACCTGTCCTCGGGGCTAGTCGATTAGTCTATCAAGCTTATGTGTAATACTGATTTCAACGAAAATCTGACAGTCAGAAGGTCGTGGGTGGTAATTACTCCCCCGGAGGCGCTCGTCAGTTTTATATAACTGGCGTTGAGACATTTGCAGGGTCGCCTCAACCAAGAGCCATGTTGACGCCAAACGAAGGAGGCCGCTGCAGATGAATGTCCAAACATGTGATGCCCGGGACCGAAAAATCGCCTACTTTGTACAGGGAAAGCTGAGATAGTCGTGAATGCGGTTATGATTTAAGCGCAATAACAGCGCGTCGTCCTTACGTTTTCTAAGCTAGGAGTCCGCTTACAAAAATGAAAATTAACGTAAGAAAAACCTGTAGAAGAGACATTCCGAACATAAAGAAGCTTGATGCGACAGATGTAGCAGGTGTTTGCACCGACTTATGATGCGTTTTGGGTGTCTTTGAAATTCTTGCTCTCCCGTCATGGGTGGCGAGAGCTAGTAAGTTGAATTTCGGATTCAGAAGCCTCTATTGCTGCAGCGGCTTTAAGCCTCTTTCGGAGGCAGTAACGATTATTATCGCCATGGTGAGTCCCCGGGCGGGTACGATTTGCACCAGGATCTTCCTTGTCCAGTTTAACATCTTTCAGGAAGCGACGAGTGTAGCATTAGATGTGGAGAAGAACTTCGTGGCCGCGAAGGCCGGATAGGAGTTAAAAGGATGAGCCGCCCTGTATCGCGCCAAACACGGAATCTTTACCACATTGGAGATGAAAAGAAGTTGTTTGAGCTGTTAAGCAGCTCCGTAATACTCGCTGAGTTTAATCTGTGAGAGTGTTCAACATAAGTCCTGTGTGTCCCTTTGCTGTTGGCGGAGGGGTACGAAGAGTTGGACTCGCACGCAAATCGATCGACGAATCCCTCGTGGGACAACATCGAGCTAGTAGGCACAGGTCTGCCTACTGTGAAAGAGATTTGCGCTATCGTTTTCCATGCTGTTTGATAGCAATGCGGTCTATGCTTAGAATGGGGTGACTTTATCTCAATAAAGTGTGGCCCTCAGACCAGGCTGATCGGCTGCTAATATCCAGGGTCCGGATTTTGTGTAGCCGTATAATGTCTGGTTGGATTTATAATCGGCGTGCAATTACGTTGAATTCATGGTGGTGGACATGGTACACACAAGACAACAGTATTCATGATGTCAAACTCTGTAACTGAATCAGTACGTTTTCCGACGGGGATATGGTACAGTCGTCAAATATTATCTCACACTTTTACGTTGAGCGTAGGTGCTGTCTCATCCTGGAACTGAATTTCAAGACATTACCGCATCCTTGAAATGACGTGGCTGCAATGTAACGAGCCATAGTGACTAGAAGCACACGAATGTTAAATGCCCCGCAATTCTCGCCTGATGGTGCTTTGCCGATTTGTGTAACTTCATCTTCCAGGACGCTCGCGAGCGCAAAGCTGTGAATGGTCTCGTGCAGAACATTATACTGTCCAACATTGGAAGCAACGGTATTGCTAGGTGCCCCGAGCAGAGCTCGGAAGGCAAACGCGGTGAACTGCAGTCTAGGGGTAGGGTGGAAAAAGACTATCAATTTTTTCCCGAGGGCATCTATAATAAGACGGGAGTGCGGTCGTGGTCCCGACCTTAGCAAGTACAGTAAGTGTGAAGAGGATAACTAAACTTCAAATATAGCGAATGCTCGCTATACAAAAGCTTGTGCGCAATGCATTAAAAAGACTAAGTATGTGCGAACTTCGCATAACGTAAGTTTCTAACGAGATAAGTAATGAGCTATTACCTTTCACGTTTCGTACAGCTGTACTAGTTATTACACTGTAAAGTTGTAAGAATGTACCGTGCATTTTTAGTTTTTCAGTAACGCAACACATGCTGCGTCTGACCTGTAAGCTGTACGCACAACCTTTACTATTGACGACTTCAATATCGTGCCATGAAACAAGTCATAATCAAATCGACGCACCCGCCACCATTGAGCAACTCGGGTTGTGCCTGGCCACAAAGATGTATTACACAAGAAGAATAATTACGTCGACATTTTCTGCGAGAGATGTGACAAACGCACTGTGCGTGACAACACACCAATTATTAAAGCTGCAACGGCTTTGAACCAAACACGTGCATCATAAACTGAAGAAGATCTACATCTTAGCATGTTGCTCCATTTCTTGAACTAGGATGCCATCGCCTGCCGTAATGATGCTTTGATGAGCGGTTCTTCTCCACTTTCTGTTGGCGCCTCTCGAGCGCGATTGCACGTTCATGTCCGTCAGCATCGCTTCAAAGTAAAGCACAGTTTATTTCAAAGGATGGAAGCATCACATTCGATATGAAATTCCGATCAGTATTCAGAAGATCAATGGGTTGAGACATACATGAGGCTTTCTTACATAACCTTGGGACCACCACTTCTGCTTCACTCTAACATCATTTGACATCCTTTTTGAAAGCTTGATGGGGAGGCGTGTCTTGTCGGCTTAGTTTGCACTATACTTGTGTAAATAGTTGGTCGAATCAAGCTGCTTCTACAAAATATTTTGAGACAATGGCACTGACAAATATTTGGTCTTGGTCTTTGCGGAATATTCCCGAAGATCCTGCTTCACGGTGAATGCAGTGGGGTGGCTGTAGCTCTTTTGCTCAGAGAAAGCTTGTTAACCTTAACGCCAGGCTAATTAACTCTTTCGCTGAAAGCGTAAACTCTTGTTGTTGTTCTAATTGTGGCAAAGCCGCCTATATCGACTTCTTAACCCTAAATTTTACTATCTATATAGTAAAACTTATTAAATGTGTAACTACTCGCTGTTCCAGCCACATACTGACTTCTTGTTTAAGCGTAGCCACATCATTGGGTGATTACACCATCTTATTTGACACACACTTTTTATACCAAGGCACATGGAGGCTGGGTGTCTTTCGTGTCCTCGATACAGGGCTTATTATTGAGCAGCAAATTTGTGATGAAGGTCCTGGTGGTGTTGTGGTGTCTTAGACACGCGAGCCTCGCTCGAGGCACTTGAAAGTGAGCTGTGAGTGCTCATGACCTCAACGAGGCACAAAAGCAGCAGTTGGATGCTGTTCGCAGGATGGCTCCGATGCACGCCCACCACGGTCGGTTCTTGATCCTCGTGTCTAATTCGGCTTTCGCTCGGCGGATTCCGTTACAGAAGCAAAAGACGCGATCACTCAACCGGTGGGCGTCTACGTGATCGGACTCCCGGCCACTACACAAGCTGAGCTTGACGAACCAAAAGATTTCCGAGCTCGATTCTTGGTTCTTTGAAAAATCCCATTGGATAGTTACCGCACTCGACTTCGTGCTCAAACACTAGGCGCTTCTGTACTTGTACTGCAACGATTCCTGTTGTGCTTGCCCTTGGCAAACCCGCTGCAGATGACAAAGAGCTCTGTGATCGATGGGTGCAGCGGCACCGGAAATTTTCCTCGCTGTATAACTTACAGTTGAGCCACAAGAATGTGGACACGCGTGTGTAGTGCCATATTCGGTTTGAGTTGCTAAACCAAAGGCACGTCGCTGACTTCCTTTGGATCGTCGCCCAGCGACGTATGGGTTGATCTATCACGCTCCCGCGAGCTCGGTGGTCTCTCACACGGGTGAGTCTGCGACCACAGCAGCTCAAGACCATAGCTTGATCTCAGCTTATGCCCAGTCGGCTTCACTGGCTATTGCCGAGATGCGCGGGGCGTACGACGACGCGAAATTTTATGCTCCCTCCAATCATAAGCGTTCACGACGTCTGGGCCGTCTTGACGAAGTGGCACTTCAAATTCCCACGAGTTCTGGTAGTCGGAATATCCCTGTCACTTCACAAGATACTGGGTCTGACCCTGGCGACGACGTCGACCCACAAGACGTTCCACGTTATAGTGGACACCACCAATCTCGTTGAAAAGAGTCGGCAGCAGACGATGACGACTGAGGCGATCGCCGTCCGGTGACTCGCGATGCTCTTCGGGCTCTAATGGGCGAGATCCGTCGCGATCAGGATTCCGCTGAGCGTCATGCTGGGGTCGCATACCGCTGCGCAGAAGACTTAGAAGTTTGGAGTACGTTGTCCACCGGCTGCCTCACGTTAGCACTATCGCGCTCTGTCGGAGTGGCTATCAGCCGTTGAGCAGACAAATGCGTCGCTTCATGCAAAGGTGGAGCGCTTGGCGCCGTTGAAGATTGAGATTGCTGCGATTCGTGCTAAAAACCAATTGCTGGTCCAGCTTCTGAGTAGTCGAGCGCCTGTGGGCGCCGTTCCGGCGCCAACGCTTCTTCGTTCACTTGAGCTAGTTCCTGTACGGCTGGAGCAAGTCATCATAAAACACTGGGTGGATGTGCATCCGTTTCGGAAGGCTTAGCGTATTCACAAGGCCCGCTTGGTCAAAACCTTGAAAGGCCCGATAAACCGTGGACGGATCTTCGTCTTCAAGACAGCAGAAATTGCATGGTTAGGAAGGTTTTGACTATTTAATGAAATCAGGCCTTTGACCTCAAAGTCATTTCTTCTGCTTCTTTCGTCTGCATATCCTTTCTGCATGTGGCGTGACTTTCAGTCATCGCATCGCGAACGTGTCATTAGACACTCATTCTGGTAGACAGAAAGTCGTCGCCTTCTTCACGAACAGTGAGGGGACTGACATCGGCTAGTCGCTCGGCTATTTCTCCCCACCAAGCCCTGAGCCATGGGATGGCGGTGTCAGCGGGACGATTGGATGAGCGATCCCGTTTACGTAGAACGGCGTGTCGCCGGTGGACAAAGGCATTGCATTGTTCAAAGCGAGCTCGACAAGTGGCAGCAAGACGCTTTAGCACCTCGGCGTCTCAGCACAGACGCTGCGAACCATTTCACGACGCGTTTCACGCTCTCAGTTTGACCATCGATCTGCGTATGGTCCGCTGTTGACATATTCAGCTTGGTGGCTAGCATCTTGAAGATTGTAAACCAAAACTTCTCAGTGAAGCATGGCTCTCAATCATAAACAATTGACCCCGGGAGTCTATGCACGATCGACAAACAGCGTCGCTGTATCCATAGTGTCCGGTAATGCCGCAAGATAAGCCAATTTGCTGAAACGGTCCACAAGGACCATCACACCCGTGTTGCCAGCTGAGTCCTTCGACCGGCCAAACACAAAGACCATATTCATGGACAGCTAACACCCGGAGGGTATCGGCAAGCTGGCCAGCGACGCCGCCGCATTCGGAGAGGTTTTCACCCTTTGACACGTCTCATACGTGCGAACATATATGTTCGTCCATCTGTACAGCTTGAACCACGAGTGGTAGCAACTCACAGACTGTACGTCTCTCACGACCGAGATTATCACTGAGTGGGATGTCGTGGGCCTCATAGAGAATACGGTACTTCAAATCCTCATCGTGAGGAACTACATTTCGTGGCATATCCGTCGAGTCGGTGCTATAATACAGCAATCCGTTACGCAACGAATATCGGAGCAACCATGCGCAAAGTCGCGATGACAACTTATTGTCCGAGCTTCCAAAGCGTCTGTAGCAGCGCTAAGCAAATACCATCACCCGCGTATGCGGCGCGATCCGTATCTGACGACGCCACCATCGTGACATGAGCAAGCTCATAATCCGGTCTGCGTGACAACGCATCAGCCAAAGCATTCTGCTTTTCTGGCTAATACTTCACCTCGAAGTATTGTCTGCGAAGAAGGAGAGCCACCTGGCCTACCTCTGCGAGAGGTGAGGCGAATGAGTCGTAGTGCATAATGACGCATGATCTGTGTAGATCACAAAAGGTTTGCTGTCGAGCAGGTGCACCCTGAACTTGACAATTGCATACTTCATAGCAATCAATTTCTTGTCTTTGACTAGGTTGTTCTTCTCTGCAGCCTTGAGTCGAACGCGATCACCCGATCTCGCCCCTCGTGCTGCAGTGCAAGCCGATGGCAAAGACTGAAGCGTTAGATAACAGTAAAAGGACGATCAGGGTATGGCAACGCCAGCATTGGTGCATGAAGGAAGCTGTATTTGACTCTGTCAAAAGCTTCTCAACACTCGGTGTCTCAGCACCATTCCGCATCCTAAAAAGGGGATTTTTTCGGCGCCGAAGATGAACTTGTCTGCATTAGCATACTATTCGTGCGCATGCACTCGAGCACCGCTCTCGACTGAACGATGTGGTTCTATTCATCCGTCCTACCGTGCTCTGCACGACTGTGCGCGTGCCCGGATTCGAACCAGTGCTCTGCACGACTGTGGACGAAGATGTCGTCAATTTTTGAATGTGCATACGTCCGGTGGGACCGAAAATACAGCGTCACAAGACAATTAAATGCTTCGACTGAATTTGACGGCCCTTGTAACATCCCAAAGCGTGCCGCTCGAAGTACTCACCGCTGTCAGCGAAATACCACTTGCTCTCACAAGCAACTGGTAATACCCATCGATCAAGTCTAGTACACTGTACTTTGTACAGCCAACCATGTTTTCCGAAAAATATCCCTCCAAGGAATCGGCGTCTGTGCCGGAATGGTGGCAGCGTTGACCTTTGTAAACGTGGACGATACGCCACTTGCCGTTTGCAAAACGTGGGTGTCGAATGGGGGACTCGCTCTCACGCACCAATCCTGCGTCGTGCCTTGCGCGGACGAAGGCGTCAATGACGTCATACTGCTCCTTGGACAGCGGCCTTTGGCGTGTTACGCAGTATTTGGTTTTCGGAACCAGGTCGATCTCATGACGCACATCACGGTCAGAAGGTAGGATCGACGGCCGGTTTTTATCGACGACGTCTTGAAACTCCTTCATCAAAGGATATTAGCACTCCAATGGATTCTTCAAGATCGAAGATCCACTTCGTGCGCTCAGCTACCAACTTGGTGTCCTCCAGGGCAGATTCATCCAGAAGCAACGACGAGTTGATCTCCACTTCCGGTCGTATAATGACCACTTCGGCTGAGTCAGTACTCACCCTATCATAAAAATGATATTGTATACTCAGCCCTTGATCAGGATTGTATAATTAATGGGCGGCTTACGCAGTAGAGATGTCTTGTCTGCTATTCTATTTCAACTGTGACACAGATGCTAAGCAAAAAAATCAAATCAGTACTAAATATGCCTATTTAACTATGCTCGATAATAGAGCTATATGTATTGTATGGCGTGAGGCAAGCAGCCCGCATGCCCACAAGGACATCTCCTTTTCGAAGTCTCACCGTCATCATCAGTACCAGTCTTCGAGTAATGTGCTTGTACATAATATTAGATTATATTAACCAGTTTTGCGTAATTTACTGTAGCGTAAATAAATTACATAAGGACAAGTTATTAAACGTCTCTCAATTGTTGCTGCTGCTAGTGAAAGAAACGAAGCATAAAAAACTATTTAAACACCATTTGCTAAGCGCAATTTTCAAACTTGTTTACAGCAAATTACTGACAAAGTACGATAAGCGACTGTAAGGACAAAATATTTGCTTGGAGTATTACTGCTCTGATATGAAGTAATCACAAAATCATTGTCCTCGACAGTCAACTGACATTCAATGTTTAGTTTATGCGGCTACGATTGGGGCTGAACCAGCTATCTGTTTGTGTTCGCTGTGTTTGCGCTACTCAAACGTGGCCGAGTCACTAACAAGTAGAAATTTTATTTGTACGATTAAAGTGTTATATATGACTAACGCAGTAGCTTTCTTCAATTCATCTTTCATTTCAGTCACGTACTCATGAATCATTTCAGTCACGTACCAACTATCAACAAATCGCTCTCGGAAATTGACAACTGTGTTGTGAGCGCGATAATATTCACAACTTACTTCAAAGTACTGCCATAAGGTGCCACATACGTGCCAATCTTGTTAGCAAGCGGGACATTGTTCATCTCAATATTTTTGCCGCTACTATTGTCTTTGCTTCCCCAGCGCCATCCACCTTGATTCTCTAATTCCTTTTCGATACTAGCAGCAAACAGCGCGGCACCCGCAGCATTCGTAAACATAAAAATTGCGCCAGCAATCGGTATCATCTCTAGAAGCATTGCTTGCATGCCAAACATCGAGTATTGGAGCTTTCGCTCCGCAATAATTTCTTTTTGCTGATCAAAATCGAAGGCTTTCATCTCAAAATAGTACAAATGCGCCTCCCAAGCCATGAGTACGCCATTAAGCCACGCATACGCGAGATTTCCCAGCACGGGGATTGTGTTAAGAGGGAGAGTAATCACCAGTAGGCCTAGGCGGAGAAGAATACTCACACGACAACAGGAAGTGAGTACACGCACAAATGGCGAGTGGCGTTCCTCATTCTCCACTAGCTCACGATACCCCCGTTTGATCAAGACGTGTGCGAAAATTTTGTCCTTGAACCACTCGAGCGTTACAAGAGCGAAAACGATAGTGAGAATAAAAATCTCGATGATCACGAAAATCACAGCGATGAGCCACGCAAAGAATGGAGAGAGTCCGGCGTCGTACAAAATCTCCTCCTGTCGATGCAACGTGAAGGTGAACAATGTGATGGCTATACCAAATGCTACAGCCACCGTCATGAGTAATGGAAGGATAGACAAGCGCCAGAGATGCTGGTCTTGAAGGAAGAACAAGACTCCACGAAGAGGATACGTAGACATGACAATCGAGATATTAACCAAAAGTTAGATGAGTGCTTCTTATTTGTTAAAACCACGTAGTATCTATTAAAGCTAAATTGTATCTAAGTTTAAATCAAGCACATTTGCTAATTACGTTGACAATCAAAGTGCATTCATCGATATGGAAAGCAAACAGAGCAGCTCTTACAAGGGATGAAGACTGCGCCACTGCCGGTACTATCTCCGCAACAACTTTTGCATACCATCAAGCACAAACTTAATGCTATTCTCATTATGTAGCACCGACCATAGGCACAGCATTTAGAGATATCAACACCACTACGCCACAAAGGTTAGTGATACAATGACGCAACCAATACAGAGGGAAATGCATGACGTGTGCTTGCGCTCACAAAGATCTCCACTATTCTAACGGTGATGATAGCCAGTACCCCAGGCTAGAAATCTGAGGAACTTAGCGCAAATCGTTGCGTACACTGATAAGCAAACATTCGTCAGCAATCGTAAGCAGAAAGGGTGCCACAAACACTGACAGCCTGAAAATTAACGTTTTCAAATGTGTTACTTATCACAGTTCTTTATTCTCATAAAATTTTTCACTATACATGTTCTTCAGTCGGTACGTAACCATGATTTTTCGAGTTGGCATGATGAAGATGCACTCTGTCATCTTTTTTCTACAGTGCGCTCACATTCATCTTCTTCCAAATGAGCGGCCAGCAGTGCCGATCCAACTGCATTAGTAAATACAAAGAGTGAACCCAAACCTGGTATCATCTCCATAAGAAGTGCTTGCATTCCAAAGGACGAATATTCCAGCTTGTGCTCATTGATAAAAGCCTTTTGTTGCGCGTACGTAAAGTTTTTGAATTCAAAGTATCGTAAATGGTACTCCCAGGCCAATATAGTGCCGTTGAGCCACGCATACATGATTGAGCCGACTATTGGCAGCAAATTAAGCGGCAACGTCACAATAAGAAGCACGAGGCGTAGCCAGAGACTCACACGGCAGCAGGATCGGCAAGAACGGGTACAGCTTGCGTGATTGACATCATCATCCACGATTGCCTGAAAACCGCGCGCCACCATAACTGTATCAAATATTTTATCTTGGTAGGACCCCATGACGACGAGGTTGTAAATGAGTGTCAGGAAAAAAACCTCCACGAGCACAAGCAAGACAGCTAGCATCCACGAGAGCCACGAAGTTATACCAATTTGTTCGAGACCCTCGACTTGTGGTACCAAGGCGACGGCGAAGAGCACAATGGCAGTAGCCATCCCCACGATAAGCGTTAAGACCAATGGACAGAGCGTCAGGAGCCACAGGCGTGGGTGGGTCGCAAAGTAGACTAATCCTTGCACGACGTAGGTGGACATATGCCTGATAGAGTGAGTGGTTTGAGGTTGTGAATAATGATGCTTTTAACTAACGTCGATACGATGCAATTAGTACAGAAACTTACGCCTTACAATCAGTATATCTTATTGATTAAAAAAGGGCTACTGGCATTCTGTAAAAACTGCTCAAGATAGTGCTAGCCACAAATGTATTCCTTCAAAATATTGCCGAAAATAATCAACTTCTTAAACCGCACACATGTGCTCGTCGCTTAAGAACGAACACCTTGTTTAAGAAAACGTTGGCAGTGCACAAATTGCCAATTGGCCTTAATAATTTTTACGGAAGAAGTTCGTGCAACACATTTCTATGAAAACTTATAAATCAGCCGGTTCAAAGGCTAGAAGTTATAATGTAAACCACATCATACTAGGGTGTATGACAAATATTTCGATGGCCGTTTTTTGAGCTATAGATCAACTTTACGCGAAAAATTAGGCCAAAAGAAAGCGGAGCGACACAAAAGTGACTTCAATCAATTAAATATTTGATTAAGAGCTTCTCTTAAAGACCAAATACCGAAGTGAAATTTATAGGTTCGAAAGCAAAATATAAGCATTTCAATCTGCGAGCCTCTGCGCATAGTCATTGCAGCGGGACTGCCGTAGCTCTTTGCTCAGGGGAAGCTAAACCAAGGCCACCGACCATACGTTCTATACAAGAATCAGTACGAATGTAGCGGATCGCAATCTGCTACCTCCAAGAGTACTTGAAACCTTAACCAAATAAAACGCTCTTCCGTTCAAAGTTGAAACTGTAATTGTTTAAGTTGCGGCAATGCCGCTAATATCTAAAATTTTGTCACTAGAACGCGGAGAACTCGCGACTGCTTCCAAACGGCATACTTAAAAGGGGAGGGTGCTCGATTATAAGCAAGCAAGCGTTCTTACGATCAGAGTGCTGGAGGGGACACGGTGTCGCAGAGGCTCGAGGAGATTATTCGCCATAAAGCATGCATAAGAAAAACCGATTGTGAAGAAAAACTGCATAGCACTTCGTGCAGTGGAGCTGTCATAGCTCTTTTGCTTAGAGGAATGTTGGTAAGGTCGTTGACCTTCGTTCTATACTTAGAACCAGTACGAGTGAAGCGAATCGCAATCCGCAACCTCCGAGAGTACCCAAGACCTTAATTCGAGGCTAATTAACTCTTCCGTAAAAAACGTGAGCTGTAATTCTTGGTTTTCTATGCGGCAAACCGCCTATATCTAAATACCTCGGTTTTCATATCTATATAGAAAAACCTAATGAAATGTATAACTACTGGCTGTTCCAGCCACAAACTGACTTCTTGTTTAAGTGTAGACACACCATTATGCGGTGACACCATCTTGTGCAACCCAAACCATTTTGTAATCACACCATCTTGTGTGACCCACAACCTTCATACCAGGATACGTGAAACCCCGTTACACCTCGTGTAATTGAACAATTTAGTAGCATGAAAATATCGGTATTAATAAAGCTAGCCCCCAGAAGTAGAGGCCCGAGATACACGTGGGTTGCTAGCCGCACGTCAACAAAGAAAAACAGTTATGTATTGACAAAAAACTATTAATATTAGTTTATACATAATTTTTTAAATATAAACTTAATAAATTGTAGATTAAACTAGCAGTTACAGATCTCGGACCTGCTCCTAGTTGGAGGCACAAACCTAAGTCTATTCGGTTGTCTGTACATAGTCTGAGAGTCAAAGCTTCCTGTGCAAAGATCACGGCAACCCCGTTGCTCTCGGAAGCACTTGTAGTCAAGCTCACGAACCAGTCGTATATAGCAAAAGGGCTGGAAGCAGCGAACACACACCTAGAAGCGCCCACCAGCTTTAAGAATGTGCCGTTCAGGTACATCAAAAGCGCCAGTGGATGAACCGGTGCCCCCACTATTAGACCGCTAGTGCTACGCATCCAGGCCTCTGAAAAATGAGGACAAAATAGATCTCTTCCTTTAAATAAGAGAAGCTCAGATATCCATGATTCGGTTTTGCCCAAAATGAAGCCATAACAACGAGTTGCGCCTCGCTCGCGAAAATGGGCCAGAAAGTGCTGCACCTTAGTCGATTTGTGTCGCTATATATTGCGGGTAATTACCTGGCTAGGCGTGCCGGGTGCGTTTAAAGTTCTGGTGTTCCCATTAAAATAAGTGAAAACTGGCAAGCGATTACCCGAACTCATGAAGTCTTGTTGCCGTACTGGTGACTGGCCTCTACCAGAGACAATAACGGCCACCATCTTCATGGACAGTGTTCGAACGGATGCGCTTGACACTGCGCATTTCTACATGCACCTTACCGCTTTTGGGGAGCGGCACATGACTCATTATATTCGGGATATACTTTCGTGCCGCAAGAGGCAAATGCAGTGCTGAGATTCCAATAGGCGCACCATTGGTGATGGACCTCGATTATGATGGAGAGGAAAAGAGACCCCTTAGTTGCTGAAAAAATCCGCGGTACTCGCATATGCTTCGTCTGTGGCAGTACCATATTTCTGTGTCTTGCATGCCCCCTAGATCTCGGCGGTGGGGAACGATGGGTAGGGCCCCCAGAAAAGCAGAGGACGATCACTTCTATAGCAGACGACTTTTCTCAGTAGGCACAGGGAGGCCAACTGAAATAAAACAAGGTTTGATTGTACTGCATGGAGATCGTAATCAATGGGACCTAGCTCTCAAAGAAAAGACTCTCGTTTTGAGAAGTAAGCATTTTACAGCATAGTACTAATGGTTGTGCAAATCAACGTCTTGAGCCTTGTGTAGCCATAAATACTGATCATGAATTCCTCCAATTAATTTTCTCAATTTCCACGACTCACAACTATCGAAAATCTTAGACAGTAGGCAGATGCATCGAAGGTACGACATACGGGTGAGATATCCGTGCGTTTAAGATAGACAGCTAGTAAAACGGCGACGGTTTCGTTGCGTCGTGAAGAAAAAAAAAATTTGAGGAATTTAACAGTATGGAACGATATATATACATTGAGACAGTTTTATTGAGAGATAGTATTAAAAAGGGTATATTATATAGAATTTATCCCAAAATATGTACTTATCAAATAACGGAGCAAACCGACTGTTCAAATATCAGTACGTTCTAAGTTCCACCCCTGGTAGGCGCGCACAAACACAACCTCTGTGTGTTTGTTAAATAGGACTCCGAGAGTTTGCATTCTCTGTATATTGTAACGGGAATTGCCTGCGTGTATACACGCACATACCGAGAAATACTTATATCGGTCATCGCGCTTCATTGCCTGTTGCTTTATCCCTACGAGCCGCTGATTTACACGAACGAGGGGAAATGTTAAGTGACATTTATTATGGCCAATAGGCGTTAAACTCCCCTAATCTGACAAGTGCCTTCAACAGAATTGAGGTATTTACAGCTATGCAAGATATATAGTTAGTGCTAAGCACACACAGAAGTATGTGCTCACACAACATGTGTAATGGGACTGACCCCATTATGTGCATAGTACAAAGCAACCCCGTTACAAGTGGCACATCACGTAATAAAATCGATTCTAGTATGACATATGGGAATAGTGCATTTATAGTATTCGGCGAAATAAAATGTTACTCAGAAGATGTCGCTTTCGAAATAGCAGTGTTCATTTGACGATGAGTTTGATCATCTCTGTGCATCTGTTAACTTGGACGCTTTGAGTCGAAAATTTCTCACAAAGCAATTCCGTTACTTCGTAAGGCTAGAAAATTCTACGGCACCGAGTCTTAAAAGAACTGTATATTCTTCGGAGATAGTGTACATGAGATGCTAAAGTATAGCCCCCCCCTGGGATACTCGACCACCAGACGAGCTTTCGTCTATTGGGTCAAGACGGGGTCATTATATCCTGGTCTAAGCGTTTACGTCTGGAGGTGTTTGTTGGCTGATAAAATTTGCCGACAAAATACGTCTTGAAGCGAATCTATCAGGACGCTGGAAGAACTGATGGCACTCACCATTAGGCCGCTGATACTAAGCTCTTGGATTCTTCCGAGCCGATAAAACATTATCTCTCCCACTGGTTAAGGGAAGATGATATGGCCAAGGGCTCGGACATGTTACAAACGGTGTAACAGCGCGTTGCGCATGCTGATGCCGATCTAGGAGGCCGAACGCGAAAATCGGCATATCTCGACAAAAGAGGCCTTCCTGACGTGCAAAGATTTAGAGCAACATATGTTGCGGATGTTCACTTCACCTTAATAGACGCACAGGGTACTTTTAAGTAAAATTCTTTCGTCAAGAGGCGAGAACTAAAAAATAATGTCTGTAATTAGAAAAATGTCTTCGCAGCGTCATCAGACGTTCTCTTGCATGATACTGTATCCGTGGATATCCTTCAAACGGATGCAACTGGTACCGTGGACTTTTGCATCCACCCTATATCTCTCAAAGGGGCTGAGTTAGATACACTAAATGCGGAGTACAACGTACTTGCTACAAAAACCAATCGAGGCTGGGGGAAATCTACCTGCGTGTCAGATGAGATGGTCTCGGCCATGTCGGGAGAGAGAAAAAAAATCTCATTTGCCAAACAGCAGCAGTTTTATTCAGAGATGTTTTATCTGCAGCAGTAGTATTCAGAGATGTTTTATCTGCAGCAGTATCGAACATCTGCGGGCTGCATTCCACCATCTCTCGTAACTGGGAGTTATCAAGGGTCGAGCTTACACGCAAGGTAGAACCTGACGGAGAAATGTCGAACCCCAGTAAATGCAGGGCTGCTTGATGACATTTTTTGTGCCTTGTGAGACCGAGGTCACTGGGAGCCATCACTTTAAAAAGTCACTCTGCCTAAGAGTGGTGGGGCTTCTTTCCAGGATTGTTGGGTTTTAATTTCAACGCCCCAACTCTGTATAGTTTGGAAAATTTAAGTTGAGGAGCATCGTACGACGGGCGACTACCGAAAACAGTTGAACGTTTGCGTCAATATTAAAGCTGCCAAATACGAATAGGATATTTGTGCGACTTGCAATATAACAATAGTAGAACTTTCGAAGGCCATGTTTAACATTTCCTGTCTCCGACCAGGTTTTGAGATACGATTTCTAAGCTGGCATGGCGTGGCTACAACGCCACGAGTCATCGATCGACAGAAAGTCGAAAAACCTAGGTGCGTCACATCTCTCTCCTGATGCAGTTTTTGCTGGGCATGGATGTACCTCTAGCGAAAGCGCTTTTGGAGCAAACACAGAGTTATGTTACGCTTTTTACAGGGCTTGGAACCGCCCGAGCCCGGTATGAATTATCCACCATAATATTCCTGTCTGAGATCAATGGGGGAAGCGACATTAAGCCGCGGTCTCAGTATGAGACATAAAACAATTGATATCGCCGCCCTGATAGTGTATGTATGCAAAGGCATGAAGCACGACTGATGGTCGTTGTCTTAAAAGCAAATATTGACTGAGGCAATGTAGAACAATTGTAAGCTGTTGTATTCTGTGCTAGAGCCGGTCAGGTTAGTGCGACTGTGTACCGCGGCCCTTCTGTTTTGAAATGGGTGACAAATATAAAGGTCAGATCCCACTGTCATCAATATCTAGTTATGACTGCCACGATGTCACAATACTTTGCTCAGCACTACCGTGTGACACGCCACCATGCGGAGCTGTAAAGCTTCAAGAGTTTCGACCAGAAAGATCTATACATGTAAAAGAGTGACGGGGTAGTTAGGTGCTGTAAGTTTTCCCTCATTATATTAAAAAGAAGCTGATATTAAGCTTGAAAACTTCTATCTAGGAGATGGTTTTGGGTTGCAAAAAAATTGCAAGAGAAAAGTATCAAAATGATATCGTAGGTACGGAAGAAAGAAAAAGCTTTTCATTCGTCACGGATGAATTTGTTATTGTATTCAATCGCGAAGCACTTGGTGCAAAGTGCTGAATACCAATCCAGACTAATCCTTCAAACCCTCCGATTCTTTGTTCAAGGAATACTACGTCGTGATGACACCACGTCATGCTATCAAGTGTGTTGGTTTCGGGGGTCAACAGATTGGAACAGTCCCTGGAGCCAAATATTGCGTTACACGTCAATATCTATTGCCAATAGAGGAGTGTAACCTCACTGATGCTTTTTTGGCACAAAGCATGACGCGGAGTTGGTGAGAATTAAAGTCGCCAGTCAACGTCGAATTCGTGTGCTGAAAAGGGTTGCAGCGAGTGGGACACTGCGCATGCTTATATCAAGCTGAATACAGCCACGATATCGGCGCGAACGCTGATTCCCAGAAAGTATGTGCTTAGATCAGCATGGTAGTCGGTCTTTGTTCATTGTCATCCAAACTTGCTGCTGGATACTCTTAACTGCTTGGTAGAAACAGTGATATTCATCACACTGCGGTAAATGCACCGAGCAAGATGCACTGTAAGTGGCTGGCTATGTCTAGTGTACCAGAGGCGTTAAAACGTCAAATAATAGAGCTCGGCTTCTTGGTGGGATTACGTATAGAAGCTTTTGAAAGAGATAAGACATTCAAGTAAAGAGAACACATAGCTTGATCAGGAGACGGTTCCTTGATAAACTTTCAAAAAATAAAAATAATCATCACTATTCGTGCTGAAATATGCAGTCTGTTGCAAAGGATGAAAAGTGGGGAAAGCTTCGTTCTTCGAGTGGATGAAAATCGCAGCTATACGTCTAGCTTTACCACAGGTTATGCATTTGAGATATCGTGTAATGATGTAACCAAGCCTGGCGAGTTTGTACCATCTTCTGCAGCTGCTTTCACACAGTGACATCTGCTATCACAGACGAACAATGCGTTTGAAGCATTTCATTACGCTCTACACTTGATCTTAGCCAAAAGGCTGAGAAGGTAT